CGACAGAGAAACACAAATGTTTAACATCAGAGGGAGGATCATTTAAGACACTAAAGTTAGCAAAGAAAGCTTTTTATATGTATGTGTCTCCTCATTGACTTTCAAAAGGGAACTAAACTCAGAGTGTGTCTTGTAGAAACATGATTAAATGAAGGTTACATGATGAAGCAGCATGAGAAGGAAAAGCTGTCTCTGTAATGTAGATGTTATTTGTGTCCTTACCTGTGAACTGAAGCACCAGCATCAAAACAAGAAACATTTTATTCCATCTAGATTCCACCATCGTTCCTCTCCGTCTCTCTTTTCTCTCTGATGAAAGTCTCTAAACTGGAGCTTCTTCAACACAAGTGATTCTCCTCCTTGTAATTAGTGAAGTGACACTTCCTCAATACAACTTGAATATTTTTTTTGTCTTCTTTTCTGTCAGTTGTTGTTTTTTTTGTAGCCACATCATGCAACTTTTAACTTCCTGTTTTATGGTCAATGTGTGAACTCATTTGGCTTGATCATAACTGATGTTCATGTTTGTTGAAACGTTCTGCATTACAGCTGTAACATTATGTAGAGAGGAGAATATTTGTTTATTTTTTTTCCAATATTAAAGAGATCAGGATCACAGCAGGCTGACAACGACCCTGTAAACTGAAATGAGTATGTAGGATGGACAACTGATTGTGAGACACTAACTTAATACACAGAAAAGAAACTTATTTTAACGTTTAGAGCTCAGTTTGAGAAAACATGATGCTGTGACAAGAAAAGCACATGAAGACTCAATCAGTTCACATTGTGTCCAGTCCCACAGTGGATCTGACATCTCAGAAAGAAGAAATGGACGAGTGTTTGAGGATTGTTGGTGAAGACAAATGATAGCAGTGAAGCAGCTCTTCTTGTCTGTAGATCATGTTTATTAGAAAACACACAAGATTCATGTTGATGAAGTTGGACAAGTGAAGAGTCAAACTCATCACCAACCACAAACGGACTCTTGGTGATAAAAATGCAGCACTCAGATAAGATGGTCTGAGACCTGTTAGTTCCTCACAGTGTCTTTGCGGCATTCTTTTCTGAGAACTGAGGGGGAAGCGTTTTGGTGAGAATGTGGTTACAACAGCAACAGAGTCTGGAGGTTTCAACCTCTAATGATGACCAGATACACTGCAGAAACATATGCCCTCATTTCAACACATTGTAGTACCCATGAGAACAAAGAGTTTCAGCAGAGGGAAGGTTTATTATCAGCAGAAGCAGAACATCCACAGTATGAAATATCAGCCATTCAGGATGAAAACACTCTTAGTATGTACACCAAGAAATCACAAAACACACAGTAGATTTACATGTAGTCACCTCAGAGAAAACAAACCAAATGTACAACACTGTGAGAGACAGACGAACGTCACTTGGAGACGACTCAAGTTGACTTTTGCAGGAAAATTAGGCTACAATAAAGTTTCAGATTTACAGATTGGAGCAAAAAACAAAGAACAAACAGGCTGTGGATGCTGAAAATCTTTGGCAACATTCACAAACACAATGTGGTGATGAGTCGGTTGTGTATTTATACTGAGGAACTAATGAGGGAAGTACATACAGGTGAGGAGAGAGATGAAATGAATGAGCTGGTGGGAAATGAATACATTTTCTTTTTTTTCTTTTTCTTTTTTTTTTTTTTTTAAATATCCAACAACTCTTATTAAGTTGATGTAGATCAGTGGAGTTTAACAGAAGCAGGAAGATCAAAGTCCATCATCTTCATCATTACACACCTGTGAGGAACAAAACAACACAATCACACACATTAAACTCTCCAGTACCAGACCCACTTCTGATCCTCCACTGCTCTGCTTTTAGCACAAAGTAATCA